TACCTAATAAACACAGATTTAAAATATTGTGTCACGTTTTGGGACATTCACAACAATTTAGTCATTTTTCATCTTGCTGCTAAACATATTGTACATTTGTTTAAGACGCTTCTGTGAAACTGATGAGCAGAGCTTGTGTGGGTTTATTTCATTGCTGCGTGCCAACTCTGCATTCTTGAGCCTTTRAACTGCCCAGCTAGCTGCTCTACATCTCTATGAGCCTCAGTAATGAGGTCAAATTAGCAAACAAACTCTGGCAGCTCCTCATGCTCTCGCAACACTGCTTTTGTTCTCTGTTCTTTCATTCACTGTCCAGGGAAGACTCTGTATTTCCAAAATAGCTGATATTAAACTTGCTTGATTTTTTATTTGTCCATTCATTTGAATTGCATCTTGACTTAGATCATTTGAGATGTTAGACACAAAGTTAAAAACTGATGTGGGAGAAAAATTGTCATCTTTTATACCCTCTAATGATGGGCACCTTCTGCAACAAAGCAGCAAGCAGCCCGTGGAAAAATGCTGGCTGTAAATTGAAAACTCAGAAAACAAGGCACCATTTAAATAATGGAGAATTCACGTCAGTGTTGTGTGTTAACTATAGTGAAGGGTCAAACTGGCTAAATTAGATGCCACTCAAAAACCAAGTAACTCTAATGAGAGGGATYCTAGACATAAAAGTGCATTGCCTAGGTTTTATCTTTATGTTCAGCTGTTTATTTATGAAATTCTAAGAATAATTTTATGAAATCTAGTCTGACTCTAAATTAATGACCAATCATTTTATAAAGAAATGCATTCATATCTTAAGTAGAGAACTGACAGAGTTGTTACTGTTTGAGTCAAATGTTACAAAATAAAGTTGTGTGAAATATTGTAAGATGTGGGTTTCTATGTGCCTATAGGAAAAATAAACAKAACTTGGGTCAGAGGTTATGCTTTGCATTGGTATTTTGCCTAAAAACAAGATCTCTGTCATGATTTACGGTACTATGYTGTCTATTAGATTAATATAGATATAATTAAAAACTTTTAGAGTTACCTAATTTATTTATTTTTGTTCAAATAGCCTCTGAGCCAAACCTAACAGTAAGGAAGAGCAGCTCTGTGTGGGAATTTCTTCTGCGGGTTTCAAAGTCCGCCACTAGAGGGCGATGTAAACCAGAAAATCTTATAACTGTTCTGGGTTTAGGACAACCACCACCTAAACTTCAGGTGGTGATGGTAGAGCTGGGAGAAGTGAGGATGAGGAGGATTCGAGGAAAACAGTAGCAAATATCTCCGAATGTCAGCCTGTTGAATTTACAGTTCAGACTCAACAACAAGCATCTGAGACAATGTAATGATCTGCAGATCTTATAAACCCGTGTTTTGTTCTCATTGAATCATCATATCAAAAGTTAAAACAAATAAACTGTGTAGTTTTTAGGGGGAMATTGTTCAATTTTAATTTCATGGCAGCAACACATTTTAATAAAGTAGAGCCAGAGTCACGTTTCCCTCTGTGACACTGAGGAGAGCAGCTGCTGGAGTGTTTGGAGGGGAATSTTGTTTCATTCTTGTCTGATGCAGGGTTCTAGCTGTTCAGGAGTCCTGGGTACTTTTTGCTGGTAGCAGGTCTGGACTGCAGGTGGTCCAGTTCAGCACCACGTTGTTGTAATGGAACCTGTTTGGGTTTTTAGCATTAAGCATCATCTTGATGACAAATGCAAGGACATTTCTTTATTGTCTGAATGAGAACATATATCTTTCACACACAATTGATGAATGCTGACGTTGCTCAAAATTTGACCCTTTTTGCACAATTTGATTTTGAATTGGACTGACCCCAAAAGTTAATAAGTACTGCCCAGAGAATGAGTTATCACACCGAAGATTAACCAATATGGAGCCATTTTTATGGTCTCTAAGGTCAGTTGGACAGAGTGACCATCTTCAGAAATTAATCAGTTGTAATACGAACAACTTTGTTAAAGTTGAATAGGCTGATTATAATATTTTGTTAGTTATGTATAAAGCACACTGAAACACATTACCTTTAAACATTCAGATAAACTTTGGGAAGAAAGAGAGCTGTTGTAATCTGAAGGGAATAGAGATGTTCATGAAGCTTAAATCTAGAACATGTTTGAAAGAACGGTGCACCTCAATCCAAGGAGTCCGATTGTGGAATGATCTGGAAGATGATGTTAAAAGTGTCACATCAATGTGTATGTTCAAGAGAATGATAAAGACTAGATCAGGGGAGCCCAAACATTTTCCCCGAAGCGGCCAAAATGAAAATCTATCCAGGGCAGCGGGCCAAATGCAGTAATATTATACATGAAATACAAATACTTTTTAAAGTAAAGTTTCTTATTTTTAACGATTAAGTTGTGCAATGGCCATCTTTTGTTTTAGTCTGAGCACTTGGAGAAAGTTTGCCATACGCTCAAAGGCTCATGG